GCCGTGCCCTGACTTAGATCAGCCCAGAGGTTGTTACAGGGTTCGGTCAGTGAGTTTGCCGTGCCCTGACTTAGATCATCTGCCATTTCCCCCCAGGAAGATGGATTTTCGGTTCATTTACTTGCAAAGCATGGCTTCTGTCCAACTTCTGGTTCTGTTCTGCATCAGTTTTCAACCTCTGTCTGGTCAGCTGGGATCGTTACGTAGCAGTGACGTCATCACTTCATTACAACGTGCGCATGAGGGAAACCAAAGTCCAAAAGATGATAATTCTCATTTGGACTATAAGTTTCTCTGTTGCCGTCGTATTTATCACTCAATTCCATATCAATGCTTCGAGTCAAGCTTTTAACTGTACTGTCCAAGGCAACAGGGGTAATGGCTTCACAGTCATCCTAGTTACGGCGGCTATCTTTATTCTATCGGTTTTGTTTCTATCATTTGTGAATGGTAAAGTGTGGTTTGCAGCTCGACGCCAGAACAGAAAAATACAAATTGAGATCCTAGAAGCTATTAGACTTGGGCTAAATGCGTCCTTAAACACGATGGGGAATGTCGAGAATAACACTGACAACACGGATCTTTCAACCCCAGGACGAGGTGGCCATGGACGGACGCTAACAAGAACGATCAAACAAGAGATCAAGACATTCAAAGCCTTTCTTGTCGTTATCGGGGTGTTTGTGGTCTGTTGGTGTCCGTTCTACGTATGTATTGTCGTGGACAGCTTCCAGTATTTGAACGCTTCCATTTTCTATTTATCTGTCGTAGTTAGTTATTGTAATAGTGCGGTCAATATTTTTATATATGGGATCTTTAGTCGGGAATTCAGAAAAGCCTTGGTATCTAAATTCATCAATTGTAGATGCATATGTTCAGGGACGTAACCAGAACTTTTACAGGGAGGGTGCACATGGAATAAAATCGGACCATTGATCGTTTTTTTTTTTATTACCAACTCAGTGGCGTAACTAGGGATCTTGCAGGGAGGTGCAGAGGCAATAATTTCCAGAACCAAAAAAAAAAAAAGGTAACTAAAAGGAATTGAGAACCAAAAAAAAAGGAGATGGATGAGCGGACCTTAAGCTTTTATGGGGTGGTGCACGTGCACCCTGTGCTCCCCCCTAGTTACGGCCCTGATGTTGGTGAAATCAAACTGTGTAACTTCTAGTCTAAAACAATAATATGATGAGTACTTCGTTGTTATCCCAACATGGAACAATATAGAATCTCTCAAACATTTTTAATTTTCTTTAATTAAATATTAATTAAATATTTAGATATTATATAGTTTTATATATAGTTATATAGTTAAATATTGAAATGGAAAACCATAATATTTGGAGGGCGAGGGGAGGGGTTGCTCGCCCTCCCCCTCCCCCACGGTCATGGCAGGGACAAATGCACTAATGCCACTATTATCCCTCCCTATTCACGGTAACTCCCCTTTACGATGGTTTTGCTAGGATGTCTTCAATTTGTAATGGGGGCCTCCTTCTACTCTCGGCGTCGTTCACCGATTTAAGATCATTCTCTCGTAGTTCATTCGACATTGGTATGTTCATTTCTCGTAGAGCGGTATTGGTTCTCGGTATTGCTTCGTTAACATCTCGTAAGTCATTCGCCGTCGTCTCGACGTAATTCTCTCGTAGTTTATTCGGTATTATTACGTCACTCTCGGGTAGTTCAGTCGGCAAGTCATTCGTTTCCGGTTCCGACGAATTCGATTCGATACGTCTTCGTCGGTTCAAGCTGTCGGCGGCCGCCGTTCTGAGTTCCTTATTATGCGTACCGTAGATCATCGGATTTAATCCACTCTTAACATAGAATAGAATCACTGCTACATGTGGTAATTTAGAAGGTAGCTCTACGAAGTGATTCAGCAATGTAAGCAAGAAAAATGGCGACCAGCACAGAACAAATGTTCCAATGACGATGACAAACGTTTTGAAAGTTTTTAGTTCGTTAACGATAGCACTTAATCGCATGTTTCTGTTTGCTTCATGTGGATTAGATACTGATAAATTCGATACAGTAATTTCTTGGATTTGTATATGTCTCCGGTGTTTACGAGCTATTTGTATTACTCTTCCATTGACGAACAAAAGAAAGAGGGTAGGGATTACGTAGATAATGATGACCGAAGGTACAGTTTGTTCGAGTGTCAATCCGCTGGTTGCCACACAAAGACGTCTTTCTTCGGACAATTTGAATTCCACCGTGTAGATAACTGCCATCAAAAGAGACAGCGACCAAACTATTACGATAAACACCTTGATCTTTTTACCATGCATGACGAATTTGTATGTCAACGGTGACGTCACAGCTATGTAACGATCCCAGCTGACAACACAGAGATTTAGTAGCGACGCACACACGAACCAAATGTTCGCGAATGTCCAGACATCACAGGCTATTTCTCCTGCCATCCATTTACCTGAGATTTAAAAAAAAATCATGTTTGAGTTGATTGACATTTCATACACTGTACTAGCTTTCATCACCATGGCATCCAAGATTAGTTGAGCTCAAATTTTCAAGAGTTCACGTGACCAGACATTAAATGACATTAAATATAAGATAGACAGTGTTGAATGGCAAAAGCTCATTTGCAAAAATATTCCGCAATTTTATATTCGATGCCAAATTACTGCTTTATTTTAGAAAATGAGCCGAAACCTTACTAATATCGAGGATATCTTTCCATTTCTGGAGTTGATTTTGACACAACTCCTAAGATCACTCAGTGTAACATTTCATCTGCCAACAATTGAGAAAGCTTTTTGACACAAATTGCAGCTTGGAGATGCTCACAGGAGATTAAAAGTTATCAAGCAGTTTCGGTCTTAGGCAGCTTTGTAGCTTTTTAGAGGGTGACTAACTGCAATTAAGTATATCAACTGTAAGGTCTAAAATCTGCTAATGGTCTATCATAAATCCTGCGATCTGATTGGCTAAGCTGACTATTGGTCTATTAGTGATGGAAAACTAGTAAAAAGTGCCATTTTTGAAAACCAAAACAGTGGCACTGATGGCTAACTCGCTATTTCCACCTAATTCCAAGACTGTTTGTATTCATTCTTTTGACCAATTAGGAGGTTTTAAAACAATTAGCTCTCTAGATCTCCGACTCATGGTCCACGAATCAATAGGCCATGAGGTCGGAGGCTGATAGTCCCCTTCACGGTATCCGGCGCAATCTTGAAAGGTAACCGTGCCTTTGCATCGAAGCGAGACGAACGGCGAGCTTGCAATGATAGAGACATGAGAAAAATTGTATAAGGTGTTAAAAAGGTCTCTAATATTTCAAGCTCACCGTTCGTCTAGTTTCGATGCAAAGGCACATTTACCTTTCAAGATGGCGCGGGGAACTGTGAAGGGGAGTATTGGATATTGACTGTCGAACCATTGCGTGGTGGAACAAACACTGCGGGTGCTGTTCGACCGGGTATGCGCAGATTGATGCAACGAGATGTATGCATTTTCGAGCGTTTTAGTGTGGACAGTCGAAAACGACATGAAAACGCTAGTACGGACGCATAGCAATCGATGCGTTTTCGGCGAGAGAAAAACGGAGCCTTTCGAAAACGCACTTAGCATGGACGGGGTCTAAATCTTTATTTTACGAGGGAACGATAATTAACCTCTCAGTGACCCCGAAAACGAAAAGTTAAAAACTATAAAACCTGAAAAATAAAAATAAAAAACTATACGAAGTAACAATAAGCAAGCTAAGCAGAAAATGGCCAGACATAATGGAGCTATAAATAATCGTGGTCGTCCAATTTTGTTAATCACTTGTATGACTGATTACGGATTTTTTTTTTAAATAAAATAAATATTATTTAAAAAGAGTCATCCTAAAAAAACCTTAAACAATCTTAAGTTTTTGAAACCTTTTTTTTTATACCCAGAACTCACATGGAATTTAAAAGCACTTCATTTAGCAGGAAGCTTGCAAAGAGCTGTGTGGTCTATTCATCCATTCTCAGTTGGTTTCAACCCGGGTATAAAACCCGGTTTCAGTATGTTTTTTCAGTAATGGAGTTCAAAAAGGAAAAAGATGTTGAATATTCATTGATAAAAACAAAACATGACAGGCAATCTATGCTCCTCCGACCTCAGATGCAATCTTGTTCATAGTCAAATATTGAGTCATTAGGAATTGAATCTTGAAAAGCTCTCACTAAATTCTAAAGATTTCTGATTCTTTATATAACCACCTTGCTAAAACACTCAAAGGTTTGCGAATGGTTGCCAGCCTGTCATTCAGAAATAATGAGTGGATTCTTAATCATTAATGATCCGTCAGCTATAGCCCGTGACTCATTAAATGAAATAATACGCAAGCAAATTTCTAGCTTTTCAGATAAATATAATACCAGTGTTTATAGAAAGTTATTGAATTAATACAACAAAATCTGTAGTATTAGAATTTATCAATATTCGTGTTTTCGATGGATATTCTTTTTTTTTTTTNNNNTTTTTTTTTTTTTTTTTTTTTTTTTTTTTCCTTTACCTCTCAGTTGTTTTGGTTGAATGGCGAATGGCAGACAAAAGGTTTTCCGGTTTAGAAATAACGTTTCGACGTTCTGTGATCAATACCATTCTTTAAAACTGTGCGACTAAAAAAGAAATCTACTATAATTGAATGATTAGAAGAAAGAACTAAAACGTATTATTGTATCTGCATCGAGATGAAACTGGAACGATTTGGTCTGTTGATTGAAAGAATCAAGTTCAGAGTAAATAATTGCGAGATGTTTCTGTCCAAAAAAACTTGTTTCAATATTAAAATAACGCTATTAAATAATATTAAAATACTGTGCAGAATCAACGTCTTTGTCTTTTATGAAATGTTTTATAGCTTAAAAAAATAAGCCATTCATTGAAATCATTTTTGTCAACAAGCTCCTTAATGTTCCTCTAATGACTTTTGGAAAATATTATAAAAATATAGAAGGCTAATTAATTATTGAAATAAATTAAGTATAAAAATAAAAATCTTTTGCGATGTTGGATGTTTTACCCAATCTAGTTTTATATACCTACCCGTCATTTCACTTGATATATTGTAAACCAAAGAAAGTGGTACGAGAAATCCAACCATGAAATCTGCTACTGCAAGACTGATAACGAAATAAAACGCTGGACAATGTAGTTTAGGAGTCACATAAACCGTTCTAATAACCATAAGATTTCCTAGTATTATCAAAACCATCAGAATTAGAAGTAAAGTCGATGTTATGGCTACCACTGGGTTAGATAGCGCTTCTTTTAAGTTTTTATCGGTATTTAGCGTGGTTAGATTTGGAGTGGAATCCGAAGAATTATCCGCCATCATCTTTAAAGAGCCAATGTCTCTCATCGACTCGCTTTAATGATTTCAATGCTCAAAAAGCCTCCCACAGTCCAGGTCTCGTATCATTAATGATTCTGCTCTTTAAATTTTGAGTTTTTAAAGAATTTCAGCATGTGGTCTTCACCTTTTTTCCATTTGACTAACTATTATTAATTCAATTTTTCAAAGATAATGCCTCACAAAATGCCCCCAGGCTATTTACAAACTTGTCTTTTATGTTAATCTGGCATAATGACCATTAAGCTCGTTCTTGAATACATTTATGATTTCAAGATAACTTGAAATATTGCAATATTTTGGTCATGGCGATATCGTTGGCGATTTCACATAAAGGTTGATTTTTATCCAGCATGCTTTTCGGCAATCTTATTTTCCCAAAAAAACGTCCTCTTACAGTTTAAGAGCGACTTTCTGTAAGAGTCGACCAAACATCGGCACAAGTCAAAAAATCGATTTCGCTCATATTT